TTTCATCACTAACTAAAAACTAAAAACAGAAAACCAAACTCAATCATCGAGGAGCGAGGGATGCCCCCCCCCCCCCCCCCCCCCCCCCCCCCCTGAAATTTTTTCGCCGGCCCACCGATGATCATTTGTGATAACTCGTGGATCCCTCGATTTTTTTAGTGTACACATATCTACACACGAATTATATTCATCTACCCTCGACCTAGGTTTTGATACACATCTTAGCAGATTTTATATTATTTTCAAAAACCACTATTCAATTTGGCAGTTTCGGAAGAAACTGATGAATTTAGCAACAAAGCAATAGGATCGAAACGCAATTATCATTTAATTCATATAATATTATTTCAGAAACACAATTATTCCCTCGACTGTAAGGAGGCTCATGTCGAAAAAACTGGTCCAAAAACCGAAATTCGTTTGTGTGTTTGTCGCAGTTCAAAGGTCAAGTTATATTGATAATAGCAAAACTTCGTAAAACATCGTTTGGGAGAGGTTTTGAGACTGAAAATTGGTTGAGGAAGGGGATGAAGTAGGATAGGAGTTAAAAATACGTTGAACCTTGGTGTCAAAAATTCATAGTAAAATTTCATCTTGAATGGAAAAATGGTCAGGTGAAAGAAATTTTGCAAAAATCCATATGTGCAAGGAAATCTGCCATACATTGCAACTGAAAGATTCGTACTCACAATGTACTGTTACTCGTGTTTGGGATGCTAGGAGAAATCGCTTAGAGGCACAAGTCCAAAATACAAATCCGATTTTTTTCGTTTATTGCTGTGAGCATAGAAGAGAGACAGCGAAAAATGCTGTATAAATTATTATTAGTACTAGTATTTTCTATTGTACTGAATCACAAGTTCGACATTAGGAGAGGATGTGTCTCACACTCAGGTGAAAGAATACAGAGAGAAAAAGTAATGATCGTAGACTAAACGAACCGGATTGCCAGATAACAACGCCTGCGGTGATTGATAGTTTTGTTGGAAAGTGTTGAATTAGATGTTGTTTAATTAAATTGGTTAGTAATATTGAAAAAATGGGAAGGGCGCGGAGCAGCTCGTCGTTCGGCGATGTATTCTGTCTCAGAGATGAAACGATTGTACCGCGTTTGGAATAGAAAATTATATGGAAAATCATCTTATTTCGCTGTATCACTCGTTTTGCAAGGAAAAAAGGAGGACCCTCTCATCCACACCCATATATGCATAGGTTGGAACTTGTACTTAATTGCATAACTGTCCGTCCAATTGTTGAATTATGCACCTATTTCGGCATTCTGTTCTCGAGAATGCGAGAGGGTGATAAAGGGATATTGTATAAGTGAGGGAGAAAAGAGTGTGATGGTGTTAACCGAATACTCGCTTGGTAGATTATTCAAATTAAAATTAAAATTTGGCACTACCGAAAGATACCAGTGCCACAACATGGGTTCACAGTAAACTACCGCATCATTTTGATATTATTGATTTTAACTCAGGAACATCGGACGAACAAGAAGGTTGATAACAGTTTTAAGTTGAATGTTGTTTGGGAAACGAGACGGTTGACTTGTGGCGCGAAAGCAGTTGTCCTTCGCAATCTTTTGCAAGCAATAACATTTCATGACTCTTCCTTTTGAACTTACGGATGGTTACAAGAAGAATATAAATCTGTTTTTGTGAGTTTCTGTAGGGATGAAAATACAAAAAATTAAGGCGAAAATACTGTAGAAATTATCTTTCGAATTAGTCAACGTGACGACCTAAAAGCTGACCATTAAGAGTAACTGCGGTTCATCCTTGACAGTAAGAATATAGACAGAGGAAGTAATGGCCTTAAACTAAACGAGGTATTTTGTGACTTAATAATATTTTCAGGTGATTGATGATGATTTTGATAAAAGCTATGAAATTGAACATTTTGGTGAACAAAATTGTGCAATAATACTGAAAGTTGGGATGGTGCGGAACGGCGTTCTAGTTCACACTTAAAAACATTTTTACATCTTTGGATTTGAAATCTATATGAATACTCATCTTTTATTCACTGAAGTTGCCATTTTATTAGGACAGCGAGAGCACGCATAAAGTATAGGGCGACAGCGCGACCGAAGATTTCTGCACTATTTTGTTGTTTTGAATGTTAGATAATCTGTTAAATGTATACTGGATAAAGAATCGTTTTCTCTTCCAAACTGTATACTTTAAACAACACCATAACACTCTTTTAGACTAATTTAACAAAGAAATCAAAGGGTTAGTTTTGAGCGAGCTGTACAGGAGCGAAATCCGCCTGATCATTTTCTGAAATAGTCCAAGAGAAAGTGTTCTAGTGTGGTTTAAACTATACAATTTTATAGAGAACATGATTCTCTACAAAACGCAGATTTAACAGATTATCTTGTATTCGAATCAACGAAATAGTGCAGTAATTGGTCGCTGGGACCAGAAACGTTTTTGGTTGCTATGCTGGACATTAATTAGAAGATGCCTGTAATGATCTCTGATACAAGAGATAATATGTCATAAGCGTGTCCTGTATTTAGTCGAAAGAAATCGTATCTCTACTGTATGTTTCTCGTACTTTCATAGTTCTCCGTACATACAGTATCACGCTACAGAAAAATATCAAACTTTATAGATAATATCTAAGACCTATGGCTATCATTCAGCGAGATGGTGAGCCAGAGGATCATGCGATCATCGCCTCTTCTACAGAGAGAGCACAAACATGTCATACATAAGAGTGCGTTTCTGATATCAATATCGTATGAATGTTATACCATAAGGAGAGATAAGCCTATCAATATCTCTAAGTTGGGTATATAAACTAAGAGGCTAATATAGTATATAAGTTCATAGAGGAAGGAAGAAAGAAGAAGGAAGTGTGACGATGTTACTTAAGTATTTTCTTGCGTGTGAACAAGATCATATATCTATCTTTATTTAACTATAAAACCGAGTTTATATAGTGATCAACTGATCCCTTGACATAACTCGGTGGAAATTTACCAGATGATTGAAATCGAAGAGGATAAATCCATCATTTCAAATGAAAAAGAGAGCGAAGAGCAGAAATTCGTCACATATACATATGTGTATATGACGAGAGAGAAAGAGAACATGTATATGTATCTGACAGGAAAGGAAAACCATCGCGCACATATGATATATGTAGGGTAAAATCCTTATGATCATATCTGATAAGGTGTAGGTCATAACAGTAAGTTGCGTATATCTATGTCATCATCAGTGTATGAGGAGAAGAGGAAAAGTATACAATCATAGATTGTCACAATGCCAGATATCTATAATTTGAAACTTAATTTCAATTGTCTAACTCTCCGTTCAATTATTGGAATATTCGTATACTTGCGAGTGAGTAGAAGGGTTCTGAGAAGACATCATTTCAGTGAGGACGAACAGAAGAGTTTTAAAAGCAATTGAATATTTAAATAATTGAATTGAAATTTCGAGTTTCGCATTACTAAAAGATGCAAGGGTAATAGTAGCTATTCATAATAGACTGCCGCTTCATGTGAACAATGATCATGAATAGTCAACATTACATAAATAACAAGAACGATGACAGTTCTTCGGTTAGTTTTGAATAAGCGTGAAATTGATGAGGACCGTTCTCGAGATGTCGTTTCTAAGGGCAAGCTTTATCTTTAGTATAATCCAATCAGTCAAGGGTAATGTGAATCTGCCTCGACGAGCGTTATTTATTCTATATAGGACTCAAAACTCTAGATACAGTTTTCCAAAAGTTTTTCCCGTAAATAAAAGCTTCACCACTCGATGCGAAATTTAATTTTGAATCGAATGGGCTAGTTTTTATGGACGGGACATGTTTCTAAGGAAATTAATAGCTAAGTTATTGTTTTGTCGTGCTAGCTTCATATCGATTTCAAACTCTACTTGTTTGCTGTTGTTGAAGCATCATTGAATCTGTTCTCGGCATCAGCTGGTTTGTTCTTCTTCTCCTTCGTATCTTCAAGAAATCTGATACTTCATGTCGAAAGCGTTTCGAAGCTGCATAGTAACAGTAAAAAGAACTCTAGAAGATGAAAAAATATTTTAGAACAAACAAAATCTACTTCTTGCAACTCACAGAATAAGTTCCATACGTATAAACACCGAAAAAACTCTGTGCTACCTGTTCTCGAGCTTGTCGGAAGATACTTTTCTGTTTCACATTGGCCGTACCAACAGAATACGCTAGAAAAATAGCGAGAGGACCATTGAATAGAAGAACAGCCCCGATTTGAGAAAGAGTCATGTGAATCATTTGGCGAGTAAGTGCGCAGACTGGATTTCTATTTGATGTGATGTTCCGTAGATTTCGATAGGTAAGAAAGCCAAAAATAGATATGAAGACGACAGGAATGAATACATAAAGGCCAAGATTAACAAAATAGCCTCGATAGTATTGTGTGTAAATCGAACTCGTCCCTACACAAGCACGCTGTACAAGATCTTGAATAAACATGTAGGGAATCCCATGACCAATCCAAACTATGAAAAATCCACCAACTAAAACTCTTGCCACTTTCACATTGCTTTTCATCCGCATCGTTGCCGATCTCGATGAAGAGAGGAAAACATCGAGTGATTCCAGACAGAGACAAGTAAGTGAACTAAAACCGGTGAGGTCGATCAAAGGATATCTTATTTTACACCAAATCGAATTTTGAGTTGTAAAATCAAGATGAAAACCTTGACGAAGAAGCGCGGTCCATAGACCGAAAGCTAGAATGCCCAAATCGAAGAACGATTTCGACAGCATGTAGAAGGAACATGCATTTCGTTTGTAGTTTCCAAGAGTGAAGAAGAGAAAAATGTTGAATGAGTTCCCAAAAAGTCCCGCGTAGAGGATTACAAAGCCTAGGATAGTGGATAGATAGATAGATATTTGGTTAAGTTCGATAATTGCAGATGATGATGTTGTGTCGTTCGAAGACATTGAATGAAAAAGAAAGTTTGAGTTTACTTTTGAATTTGGCCTTTTCTTGATAATAATGAAGCACTGTGTTGTGACTGAAAGCCATTAATGAGTGCGTGTTTTATGTTTCTGATGAATTCCGCTTTTGTTAATAAGCGTGTCGTCCTTTCATCTAAAAACGATTTGCATACATGAATAAAAAATAATAATTTATTATCACTTTTTATTTGATTTAATTTCTATTATAGTATACAGATGACGTTGTAGGTTCTGGGAAAGGATTTTTTGTTCTTTCTCATTAAAAATCTAAAATCTAGGTTATAGTCTAACAATCCCTTGCCGACACTAGATGGCTATTACCGCTGCTATCGCATTATCAACATTGTCATTGCGATCTTCGGTGAACTTTCTCTTTCTTCTTTCTTCTTTTTTCGTTTATTAATATCGTTCCTTTTTAAATACAAGTAACGCTCGTCGAGGCCAACTCGCTTAACCCTCGACTGATGCCTTTTTCATTCTACTCATTTCAAACAATGTATGAACCCATCCGTCTCGCAGTCGGTCGTCGGCGTCCCTGCGGTCCGCCACTCCCGACTGCTCGATATTGTGCATAGCATTTCAGCTTTCTCAAATGGCGTGCGACTTCCTCACCAACACTAGATTACCGGTTTTAAGCAGATTACTTATGGTCTTGACTCTAAAATGATCGAGAGATATACAAGGAGTATAGTTCTCTTTGGGATTTGCAGTAACAAACAATGTAACTAAATTGTGACTTCTATAGCTAAGATTCATAATTTTCTATGTTTGTGCGTACTTCATACATGAGTATGGATAGCTATATTATCAGGAATTGCAC